CTTTTTTATTATTTATAATTTTTTCCTTCTTTTTTCTTTTCTTTCCACTTTTTTTCTTTCTCCATCATTCATACCTAACCCAACCATTCATTATGCACTTTTCCTGTGGTACACTTTTGCGCGGTGTCTTCCTCCTCCCCCTGCCAATACTAACAAAACCACAAACGATATTCTCATTGCAAATTTCTATTACGGTTCCAGGATATTTCAACGGACGGTTCGCCCAAGAAAGACAAGAAAAAGAAGAAGGGTCTACGAACACCATCCTTCTTGAAAAAGAAGAAGGAAAAGAAGAAGGCTGAAGCCTAAATTACTCTCCATGCTACTAGTAGTAGTGTAGAGACGACGAGAGAAGAATGATAATGAATGATGGATGCCCTTAAATAATTTGGAAATTTAAAACAAAAAAACAAAAAACCAACAACAATATTATGATATTTTCTTATTTAAAACAACAACAACAGCAAGCAGAAAAGTAAAGTTTTACTCACTCATTACCGCAAAAAAAAATAAAAACAATGGAAAAGAAAGAGGAGACAACACTCACATACGAATGATAACATGAAAGCGGAGACCAGCTGGATATCATCCCAACTGCAAAAAAAAGCAAATTCTCCATGGATGGGATTTATTATTAGCTAGTTTAAGAGCAAAAATGAAAATGTGCAAACAACAAGAAAACAATCCCCCTTCCCCCCAACTTTTTTTTATTATGTGTTAATTTTTTTTTGTTTTATAATTAATTATATATACATTTTTGTTTTTATTTTCTGAAACAAAAGAAAAAGTGCAAGCTAAATATTTTTACAAACGATGATAAAACGACGAGGCATAATGAAACGAAACAGCATAGAGAACCCCCGCCAGAAAGAAGAAGAAGAAGAAGAAGAAGAAAAACAAACATTTTTAAACATAAGAAAATCGATTTGTCTTTTACACATCATAGCCAACCAATCAGCCAGCCAGCCAGACACTTTCTTGATTATAATAGTAACGAAGAGCAGCTTTTCTTTAACAACAAAATTAAGAAGAAACAAAAAACAGACAGAATTATGCATTAATTAATATATATTTTTATACAAAATAATTGACAGATAATGCCACCCCTTACACACACCACATATACATATATACAATCACAAAAATACCCTATAACACACAATTTTTATTTGTAGACCACTACCCCAGCCCCAACCCACTTCTTGAAACAAAACAAAAAAATAAGAAAACAACACAATTTTTTTATATACATACCTACATATGTGCGTATACTTCATATGTCATGTTCAGTATCAGAAAACTAAAAAAAACAACAACAATGATGTAGTAGTTCTTAAAAAAACTTTGTAACGAAAAAAGAAAAGAAACAAAAAACATCAGCATAGGGTATATATGTAATAAGAAAATTTAATTATATATACCAATAATTTATATACTTTCAAATTCAAATTTACACCACACCACACACAAAAATGATTATTATTATTATATATATATTATAAAGAAAATATATATTTAAAAAAAATTATTAAGATTAACAAGAAACAAAAGAAAAACAAACAAATGTATAAAACAAAAAATAAATAAAACAAACAACAACAAAATGCTTTAGGTATTTATTTTTTTTTTTTTTTCAAATAAATTTACTATTTAAATTAAAATAAAATAATAAAACAAAAAAAGAAAATCAATTTCTTCTATATTGCAATGTCAAAACAAAAAAAAATCTCAACAAAACCTACATCTATCTATCCAGCCATGGCTAAACTTTTGGGCATATGTTGTAAAGCTACTTCGGAGTTTTGAAATAAAATATTTTTTTCAGGCCTAGAGTGGTCACTAAACTTTTTATTCCCACGCTACTTCAATTAATTTTTATAGGTTTTATACTAATACAGGCGAAAAAAAATTCAACGACATGATATTTTAATAAAAAGCAACGTTTTTCATTATTTCTCCGTCATAATAGCTCTGTTCCAGAACCTAACATAGAGCTTGAACTTGAAATAACCTAGGAAATAGCTCTAATTAATAGTAAAATGCAGGTTCTGGAATGCAGCTAATATTTGCTTAAATTGTCTATTTTATTACCACCTAATATTGTAACGCCTCAAAGTAGGCTTTACATTTTTGTCAGTAATTGCATTAATGCCTTTTAGCTCAAAAGCAAATTAAAAGCAGTTATTGGTTAGTTTAGGAGGGAGACCTTTTCGTCCCATTGTGTTCATCCTTCATGGCCGTAGTTTCTTCCTCGTCCTGACAAAGCCTGCAGTATTCAGTGTCGTCACCCTCCCCCCATTGTCATGTCATGGCCTTTATGTTGCAGTGTCCTGTAATTAGGCCCACCACAAGCTTCAGGTCCAGCTTCGTCATGGATATGAGCAACCTTGATCTCCTTTCGGAGTTCACCGGCCAAATCTTTTTGGAGACATTACATCCCCTTCCAGTTAGCCAGTTCTGTTAAATTTTCCAAGGTAATGCTTTTAATGCTAAGATAATGCTTATACTTACTTAAGAAGTGACATAAGGGTGACTTCACTGAGCTCTCAATATATAGATCTACGGACTCAGATCCGCGTCTGCAAATTCATCGACCGATTCATTGCCAGATATGTTGCAGTGCCCAGGGACCTAACAGAGTTTGACAAACGATTTAATCTTTTCCAGAGCATTCCTGCATTCCTGAACTGCCATAGATTTAATTGTAAATGAATTTATAGAGCCTTCAGGGCCACTTGACTATCGACATATACAGTCACCGGTCCGTCCAGTTCATTGATTCTATTTGCTAGCAGCTCTATGGCCTTCTATGGACAGCAACGATTTATGGGTTAAAACAAAGGTTATTGGTTAAAAAGGTAGCACAGGGAATTGAATATAGACTACATGAAAGCTGGAAAATCTTAATCATTGCGTTGGGTATTGTTTTTTGACAGGCTCCATAATAGAGGATTTCAGGCTCTATTTGAGAGATTTGGTATGGAATTTTCAAACAGCGTATGCATTTTAATTTGTCTTCTCTTATTATTATATCTCAGTTTAACAGATTCATGAACCATAATGAAATTCAATCTAGATTTTTTTTTCAATTGAAAGTGCCGAATCGAATTGTCGAAAAAGAAATCACTTGAACCCATATATATATACCCACAAAATAATCGAAAACAAATTGTATAAATAATTTTCAAATTCACATTTTCAAGCTATATTTTATAGGTAATTCCAATTAAAGCCAGTTTTCACCCATAATGCTTTATTTTAGAAGTGTGGCTTCAATGAAGGAAATGTTTTAAATCAAATGTCACTATGGGTCACCATTCAGAAGAAATCGCTGGAACCGATTTATACTCATAAAATAATCGAAAACAAATTGGGTAAATAATTTTCATATTTTCAATCTATATTTTATAGGTAATTTCAATTGAAGCCAGTTTTTCACCCTCAATGCTTCCTTTTAGAGATTCTCTTTCAACGAAGGAATTATTCTTCATTGAATTTCACTATGGGTCACCAAACAGAGAAAATCGGTGGAACTGATATATACCCATAAAATAATCGAAAAAAATTGGGTAAATAATTTTTAAATTCATATTTTCAAGCTATATTTTATATGTAATTTTAATTAAAGCCAGTTTTCACCCACAATGCTTTAGTTTAGAGGTGTGGCTTCAATGAAGGAATTATTCTTTATTGAATTTCACTATGGGTCACCAAGCAGAAGAAATCGGCGGAACCGATATATACCCATTAAATAATTGGTCATAAATTGGATAAACATTTTGCAAGGTTAGTTTTTTTTTTAATATTTTTTCAAATTTTAAAAGAAGTGAACGAAAATATGTCACTTTAGGTTTAGTATTTCCAATTGAACACGATATATATCACAGAAAACAGAACCAACTATTTTTTTCGGGAAAATATGGAGCAACGTTACCTCTCTTCTAAACGAAACTCGTTGGTCTTCGCAAAGAAGACCTTAAAGATGTTTTATATAGAGAGGCTTTAGGCTGTTTATTTTGGGCTATTAGATTTGACTGTAAACTATTATGACAAGACAAAATCATTTAAATTAAATAAATTAGACCATTGGCCATTTGCTTTTTTTCTTTCGATTTGATTCGTCGCTTCATTGAGATTTACAACGTATGGCCATCTGAAAATCTATAAATTTAAAACCAAAAGCTACAACATCACACATATAGTACATCATATTTTTGAAACTCTCCCCACATAAGAAAATAAAAATCAAATCTATATTAAAAACAATATTTATATAAATAAATAAAAATATTAAATAATAATAATAACGCCAATAATAAAACAAATTAATATATATTAAAAAAATTATAATAAAATTAAAAAAATATTTATTTAAAAAATAATGAAATAACAAATATTTATAAAACTATAAAAAACTAAAATACATGATAAAAAGGCATCAAATCTATGTAACATATATGTGCTATTTTAAGATGAATACAAAAAACGGAATATTAAAAATAATTTATTCATATTTCGACATATATTTATAAATAGAAAAACAAATAAAGAACAACAATCACATTTTTATATATATTAAATGATAATTAGATAAAAATACATGCAAAAATTGAACGAATAAATTTTCTCTGTGAACCATAACAAAAGTAAAAATTACGCTAAGAAACAAGCCGCCTCAATGTTCGCATTTATGTTTCTTAAAAAAAATATTTGTGTTTAAATTTTATTAGGAACATATTATTCATGTAGTTTTTTGGCAAACCTATTCGGATGCAAGAAATCTACTTGCTATTGAATTGGTGTCTTTTTATTGGGATTGTATAAAAAAAATTCTTAACTCATTGACATAATTTTTTCATTTTGATATTTTGTGTTGGATTAGAATCTAAATTTTTAAGATATCAAGGAAGTTTGCGTACCAATTGTTTTCCTGATTAAACTTCGGAAAATAGAAATTGTATGTAAGAGGTACCTATTTCCATCGTCATACCATTTCACTATGCATTTTTGATTTTTTCTCCATCTTCAGTCGTCATAAAATACAAGGCATTTATTTTCATATAGTTTTTTTCGGAGTTTAGGTAACAATTTGTCCAATTAAAAATAACATTTTATACTGCCATAGTAAAACATTTTAATATAAAAAATCGAACATTGTTGTAAGTCACCAAGAAAAAAACTATATTTTGTGTCCTTAAACGACAAAAATTGAAAAAAAAAAATAAATAAATGTAAAAAGAAACGGCTTTTTTAATATTAACTAAATTATAGCCAAGAGAATTAAACTTAATAAAGAATAATGTCAAAATTAATATGTTTGATATGGGGTGAGCGTTATTTGGTTTACTTTTACCAATTAAAAAATATGCAGGGAAATCAGTTAACTGCGACCGAAAGCATGTAACAGATTCAAATCTGTTTTGGGCATGTGTTGCGTTTAGAAAGTTGTTTATAGGCTTCTTCTGTAAGCGAAAAATTAATTACATGTTTTTTAATTATCCCCTTTCCCAAGGCTTATGATAGTTAATATATTTTCTCAAACTAAGTGTAGTTCTCAAAATTTAATGCTATTTCCGACATTTTTTGCTTTCATTCGATGAAATGTAAAAAAAAATGTAAAAATTATGTCTTCTGACTTTGTTGCAGTTTCTTTATCTCACCCTGTATTTTGTGTTCTACACTTTTCCCATGGCGGAAGAATACAGGTAATGCATCAACGCTTGAGAGCTTTCATATGCCAAAAAATGGAAATGTTTTTTTTTTTTTCAAATATAAGTAGATTTTTATTTGTTTGCTTATTCGACGTCATTCGGAAGTTATTATTATTCGCGTTTTTCGACAATTTTTACAAATTTAAAAAATTTTTCATTCAACATTTCCAAGTCCAAAATTGGTTTGACAGTTCATTGTTCCATCAGCTGTGTCGATGCTTCTACCATAGTTTTTCCGCAACACCAAGCAATCTCTGAATCTAGTCTTCAATGTTTAGGGGCCTTAATTTCTGACTTTATTAAGCCATTTAGTAGATTTAGTAGGCCTTCAAAATATTACCGCCATTTCTAACTGTCTAAATCGCATTAGACTCTCAGAGGATTCTAAAGGCGGCAAAGAAGAAATATAACGTAACAGCTACTTAAGTACGGTACATACTGACCAACAGACCAATAGAAGTCATTTAATTTGTTGCTTTTTTATTAGAATTTAATGAATTAAAATATTCCAAGCTTTAAATAATCCAATGAAATATATTTCATGTTGTCTAAATTTTAATTTTTTGTTTAAATATTCTTAAAAAACGCGATGAATCCCTGATGTGTACCGTATATAACACAACGCCTGTTTTATCATCATGAACTATCGATATTTGCATAAATCGATAGCTTTTTATCTTTCTCTGTGATAACAAGAAGAAGAATCATTCACTGAGGTATGACTTTGCAATTCACACGGAAAGAATTGTGTTCTTGAGAGTCTGGTATAAACGCACACACACACATAGACAAAACATAGAAGCAGTCAATTGCGAGTTAGAACTTCAAAACTAGTTGAAAACAAAACAATAGTCACAAAAAGCAATTAGTCATAGACAAATTTAAAAACAATACACAAGTCAGCCAGTCAGCCAGCATCTTCCAGTGTAAACAAAGCAGCAGATTCTCAAACAACGAATTCAAAAATGGCCGACATCAGCGATCAAGAATGGAATGATTTCAAGGTAAAATTACATATTTTCCCAAATTTATGATCTCATACACTACTAAATTTATTTAAATTAAATTCGCTTTAGACAAAATTCAACAAAACCTATGCCGACGAAGCTGAGGAGAAATTGCGTCGTGAAATCTTTGGCAAAACCAAGAATCGCGTCGAGGAACATAACAAAAAATTCGAAAAGGGTGAAGTATCATATTCAATGGGGATTAATCATTTGGCCGATGCAACGCAAGAGGAAATGTCGGCACGCTGTGGCAAACGTGTAGCTCCAACTGCAGTGTAACAGAAACCAAAAACAAAAAAATCTTCTAATATAGTTTTATGGAATTACGTCTCATTTGTCTATATGTATTTTAATGTTTGTGTGCTTTTTTCTAATATGTATTGTTAGTGAATCTTAATTTTTTATTATATATTGAAAATGACTCGATTAAAACATGATTAATTAAAGTATAGAGCCATGTGATCTCGTTGAATTTTGTAATGGAAATTTTCTTTGTTTGTGTTATCAGCAATTTTTGAGGTAGGGGCGTTAATGAGAACGTAAGAAGAAACGAAACAAGTTGCATATTACAACACTCAAAATTGGATTTCATTTTGGTCTTCTATGAAAAGACCTTTGGGTATTCTATGAGAAGACTTTCTTGTCTTCTATGATAAGACTTACTGGTCCTCTAGGGGAAGACTTTCTGGTCCTCTAGAAGACCTCGTGGTCTTCCAGGAGAAAACTTTTGGTCTTCTAGGAGAAGACTTTCTGGGGCCTAATGCTCGTACTCGATATAGAGTGAGATTTTGTTCGAAGTTAAATTACGATCCGTAGTTACTAATTGAATGATACGACTCGAATGGAATTATTCAAAAATTTATCGATTATTGTCAAAAAATAATCGAAATACCGACAATCGAAACATATGTTTTCATCCAAAAAGTAAACAAAACAATTGTTTGCCGCTTCATTAAAAGTTGAAAAAAATTATGGATACGTGTTTTTTTGTATTATCCTCTTCGGAAGATGAGGACGGTAATAATATGAATATAATAAGAAGACAAATTCGAGATCGTAGTGCTGCTTCCAGTATCAGCTCTTCTGATTGGGTGATGAGTTTTTCTTCATATGGGCCTCCACCTGTCTGATTCTTTGATGCCTTGTTAAAGGATAATTTCTTCTTAACATGTTGTTTTTGGTCTGCATAAACCTTGGAAAGGAAAACTGTGAAACATAATTTTTCATACCACTTTTCAATATATACCTTTCGCCACGAGGTGACATTCTTTACGAGTGGTCCTACTCCATTTAATTTGGTTGTCAACTGCTCCCACAAACGATTGGATGACGCTCTACCTTCTGGACAATTCGAAATTTTTCCTTTGGCAAGTCCCGGGTGGTCAGACATAAAATCTGCCATAATTGCCTTTTGCTTAAAATTTATTTTGTTGCAATTCGTGCTCCTGTGAAATAAAAGGCTCAATTATATCCATTTTATTTATATAATTACATTTTTTAATACTTACATTTCGTTTTTCTTCTGTTTTGTTTTGGTCTCGACAGGTAGAATGTGGCGGGCAAAAACTCGAATAGTTTTATTCGACATATCGATAAATTTTATTCGATCACGGATACGGTAATCCAAAAATTCAAATTATCTATCGATATCGAGTACGAGCATTAGGCCCCTGGTCTTCTAGGAGGAGACCTTCCAGTCTTCCAGGTTAAGACCTTCCGGCCTTCTAGGAGAAGTACTTCTGGTCTTCTATGAGGAGACCTTTAGGTCTTCTATAAGGAGACCTTTAGGTCTTCTATGAGAAGACCTCTCGGTCTTCTATGAGAAGACCTTCTGGTCCTCTATGAGAAGACCTTCTGGTCCTCTATGAGAAGACCTTCTGGTCCTCTATGAGAAGACCTTCTGGTCTTCTATGAGAAGACCTTCTGGTCTTCTATGAGAAGACCTTCTGGTCTTCTATGAGAAGACCTTCTGGTCTTCTATGAGAAGACCTTCTGGTCTTCTATGAGAAGACCTTCTGGTCTTCTATGAGAAGACCTTCAGGCCTTCCATGAGAGGACCTTCTGGCCTTCCATGATAAGTCTTCTAGGAGGGGACCTTCTAGTCTTCCAGGAGAAAATCCTTTGGTCTTCCAAGAGAAGACCTTCTGGTCTTCTATGAGAAGGCCTTCTGGTCTTTTATGATAAGATTTTTTGGTCTTCTATGAGAAGACCTCTTGGTCTTTTATGAGAAGACCTTTTGGACTTCTATCAGAAGACCTTATGGTCCTCTAAGAGAAGACCTCCTGGTCTTCTATGAGAAGACTTTCTGGTTTTCTATGAGAAGACCTTTTGGTCTTCTACGTGAATACCTTTGGTCTTCTATGAGAAGACCCTTTGGTCTTTCACGAGAAGACCTTTTGGCCTTCTATGAAAGTATCTATTGGTCTTATATGAAAGGATCTTTTGGTCTTCTATGAGAAGACCATCTGATCTTCTAAGAAAATGAATCTGTTTTAGTTTTCTATTAGCAGACTTTCCCCCTGGACTCTGATCCCGACCATTCCTGCCTTGTTCGGTATCCGTTCTATAAATAAAACGAATCAAATTGTAATATTAAACATTTATAGTCGTTTATTGAATTTGTTTTAGTATTTGTATTTAATAATTTTGTTATTTTGTTTAAATGGTCTTACAACTTAATAATAATTTGTTTTATTATTATTAATATTATTAATATGGGATTTAAATGTCAATGTATGCAGAGAATTGGACGATGATGAGTTGTTTCCATTAAAGTCTATAAAATATCATCATCTTAAGTTAGTTGTCTGTTTATCTTTTGTAATAATGAGTTCGAAGAGTTTAAATTTGTCTCTTTTTTGTTGTTGTTTTCCTATCAACTAAATGAATTTTTCATTACAAAAATGTAAATACATTTTTATATATATATATTTTTATGGACAAGAATATTGCAAAAATTATTATCATAAAAAAAAAATAGTAAAGTTATAGAAAAAGAAAAAAAACAGCAAGAACAAGTTATAAATATTAAAGAAAAAAGTTAACATCTAAAGATTTTTAAACATAAATATTATAAAAGACAATATATGTTTAAGCAGTCATTATGTGTGTTTTAAAAATTAAATTGAGAAAAAGAAAATGTGTTTTATTCAAAACTAAAATTAAGTTCTTTTTTGTTTTCCTTGCAGGCATTTTCTTTAGTTGTAATTATAAAACTACACTGATATCTAAGATTGTTTTGTTTTTCGTTAATAAAAAAATGCTTTACATTGTTTAGTGAATGATTTTCAGTTTTTTTTGGGTGTAGGGGTTTTTTAAACCCCATATTTCGTAATTAATTTTTTCTTCTTTTTTAAATAAGGCAAACAAATGTCTTTAGGGAAAGAAAAAATATTTGAAAATTATTATGTATTTTTTTTAATACCGAAACAGTACAATTTAGTTTTTGTTTTCTTTTTTTCCATACAGTGTGATTTTTGTCTTGAAGGAAGAAATTCCTCGTAGTTTTAATATCAAATTTCGTCTAGGAAAGTAGAAATTATTATTACTGGGTGTGTGTGTGTGTGTATGTGCGTATTTCGAGTCTCGATGTATTTCTTTCTTCTCCCTCTTATCTTCCTTTCCTATTTATCAATTTTTACTACACAAAAAAATTTTGTATAAAAAACACACGACAAAAAATAAATCAAAAACGAAACTTTGGGATTTCTTATTTTATAAAAAAACGAGTTGTGAATTCTTAATCTGCCTTGCGTGGCTTACGCTTGCGCACTTCTGTGGGACTAGGTTTTGTATCGTTTTCCTTTTTTTCTTCCTGCTTGTGGGAGGCTGGTTGTTTTTTCTCACTCTCCGGTTCCTCGGATTCACTTTGTTTATCATCTTCTGTTGAGGCATCCTCATTCTCTTCCTCTTCGTTGTCATCTTCATCATTGCCTGCGGCTTCTTCTTCTTCCTCTTCATCATCCTCCTCCTCTTCTTCGTCGTCTTCATTTCTTGGTGCATCATCTTCAATTTCATCATTGGCTATATCTTCAATGCCATTTTGACCATTTTCCTTGGATTCGGAGAAACTTTGACGTTGATGTTTCTTGGGTGGATAGAGAAAATCGACAACGCAGACCAACATTAGGCCCAAGGCGGCTCCCACAAAGATTGTGCCGATGGCAAAGAGAGCATATGAACCCCAGGTGGGTAGACCATATTCTTCTTGGAGGCGGGCATTGAAATCCTTAAATGAATGTTGGACAAGCTAAAGATTAGTAAACAAGGAACATTTACAACAAAGACAACAACAACAACACATGTGGGATGAAAAACAATAATTAAAAACAAAAACACAAGACAAAATAATGGCCGACAATGCTTTCTCATCTTCAAAGAGAAGGCATAAAAATTTAATTTACTGGCCTCCGATTGGAAATTTTTTTTCTTTTCTAAATAAAAAATATGACCGACATGGCCTTCTGATTTTCAAGGAGATAAACACCATTTGGTCTTTAATAAAAATCAAATTTACAATTAAGCCTCCAAAAAGCTAGTAAGAATTTTTGATGTTCTGACGGAAGGAGACAATCACCCTTAGGTCTTGAATAAAAATCAAATTTAAAGTTTAGCCTCGAAAAAGCTAGTAAGAATTTTTTAAAGAAAGAAGTCCCTCCGATGTTCAAAGAGAAGCCTTTCTGGTACATATGTGGAGGATATATCCAAAACCTGACCGATTTTCGTTTTAATCCAGAGCTGGCTTTTAAGGGCTTTATTATGTCTCTGACAAAATCTCTTCCAAATCGGCAAAATAATGTGTATTATACAGGACTAAGACCTGAAAAGTGTTGGGATACACATGGGTGACCTGTTCAACCGATTTCAGTCATTTTCATTTAGGGCAATTTCAACGCCTTTATGTCTCAAACTAAATATTATGGGAAAAGGATTCATGTAGCGAAAGCTTAACTAGTTTGGAGCAAGTTGTGTTTTGAGGATATGCTCGGATCATTTGGACATTTCTATCGCATTTTTAACCTTAAGCCGTTAGTTTTAATTTCGTTTTTTTTTTTCTCTTTCGTCATTCCTACCTTTGCCATAATTTTTCTTTTCTTAAAAACTTCTATGATGCCCAAGACTTTTTCAAAGTTATACAACCCCAAAGACTACTTAGGATAGTTTTTTCTTGTCCCTAAAACTATGGAGTATGACTACAATGAAATGATAAATTATTAACTAAAACTTGTAAAATATATTTAATTGACTTACCTTCAAAGTATGTGACAATTTAAAGAAATATGACAACACTGACATATGTACAGTATCAGGTTTCTTCCAGGCCGATATGGGTTCCAATTTGGTCCATTGTTTTTGTTTGACAAAGAACATCAGAGCATCGCCGTCACGTGAGCCACGGTACTGGCGGAATTCACCATCTTTAACGCTATAGAAAAGAAGACATTTCAATAAATTTAATTTAAAATCTCTAATAGCAGTACATCCATCATATTTTCAAAACCCCCCAGCAAATCTGATTTCCTTCGAAACCACAAAATGTAAATATTTCTATTTTTCTACTCTGTGTTTGACTTAGTAACCCCAACATAGTTGCATATGTAAATATTATCTCAAACCCCCCATAATTCCTATAATGGATCAAAACTATTATGATTGCATTTGAAAGTGGACTTACTGATAAATGGTTGGCAAGGCGGTGACAAAAAATCGACCACTAAGAGAAGGCGACGTGGTTACATCAATTTTTGCAACATTCACATTAATATCGGCCGCTGTCGTTGCAAATCTTTCCCAAGTGGGGGCCAAATTCTTGCATGCTGGGCACCATGGGGCAAAACTAGAATGATGTTGAAATAGAAACAAAAAACACATTAATTCAATATGCAACGAAAAAAACATAAAATTTGTTTGTTTTAGTCACACAACGTCTGGCAACTCTGAAATTGTCCAACACACGTAAATCACATGCCATTGTTTGATTTTTTATGTTGTAAATTAATACTCTTTTGTTGTACCGGTCCATCACCATCATCATCACCGGACCAAAAATTACACCTATACTTACAATTCCACCATCCATTCGCCCTTTAACATCAACGACCAATTGTCTTCATTTAAATCAATTAATGATTTCGAAGATTTTTGTATTGTCTGCTGTTCAGCTATGCCAACAACAACAAAGCCAAGAATTATGGCCAAAAACGCCCAATTGCGAACTGCTAATTTTTGCATTTTTACTGCCGCTTGCTCAAGTCTTTTGTGGTTTTATGTTATGCCACACACTTCGTGCGTGTTTTGGTTCAATAATATCCTGTGAAAAATTCCAAATTTCACAATTTCCAATGGAAATATTTTGCGTTTATCTCTAAAACCGGCCCAAATTCTTATGACGTTTGTCGTTGTGAAGAAGAAAAAAAATTATGACGAATAAATTAGTTATGGGGAAATATCGATAAAATCGACATTCCACCGAATCGATAACATTGATAAGTGGGACCTAAGAAAAAGGTGTGTTGTGTGAGCAAATGGTAGAATTGTATGGTCATTAGTCAAACTGCATTTATTGTAAATGCAATGCCGGTGTCCCTCTGATATATGCGCTGTTCTAGAACTTCAGGAATGTAAAAACTTTTACTACGATAACTGATTTTTGTTTGTTAGATTTTTGCCACTTCTGGAACATATAAATTGCACTGTTCTTAAGATAAAAACGAAAGCGAGAAAATTGGAAAACAAGTGGATTCTTGAAGGTTCTGTAACAGATTAAAAATAGGTTTCCTCATAAATTTAAAAATTCTCAAAAATTTATCTTATGGCATGGCAAAATATAAGAAGGTGGAACAAAGCTACCCCCTAAATATTTTTTTTTATTTTGGTTCCCTTATTCTGTCAAAACATATACACATTTTTTATATTGTTTTGAATAAAAGATACAATAATTTGAAATTATTTCAAATTTGTTTGCAAAATAAATGCAAATTTTCGAAGTAAATGGGTAACAAATTGTACAATTTTGTGATAAAACTGTATTGTCCTACAATTTTAGATTCAAACCTGTAGAATAATCCCGAAATTCCATTCTTGTTTTGTGGGTTTTCCCGAATATAGGAATTTTGTAAAAAAAATAATAATAAACAAAACCATCTGTTGCTTATTTAAAAGTCAATTTGACAGAGTTACAGAGTTGCATTTTTCTAGCTTTCTTGAACTTGTGCAATCTTATTCAGCCAGCGTTATGGAATCTGCATACTAAAGCCGACCGACAACTAAATTAATCATTTTTACAAGGTTTGTTTTTTATTTGACGTATAATCAAAGGAATTGACAATTTAAATGACGCGTGGGAAAAGCTTTTAGAGCCGATTTTATTTGACGTATACGCAATGGAATGACGGTTAAAATCCACTCGATTAAATGTAAACGTGCACTTAGTGCCAATTTTATTGTGATTGATATCTAAATACGTTTAATCGTTTAAAAATATATATAAGATTTATTAACAAACTGGTCATTTACCTTTAAATAACTGTTATTTTTACAATACATTTTTCCGGTGTTAATTCGTTTTTTTCACATTGCTTTGCAAACCCAAATCATATATGCTAGGAACACAATTGGAACGAACGACGAATTTTTTCGCGGCGTATGTTCGTCGTCAAAAATAAAACACATATGTGTATATGGAAGTGCACACAATCACGGCACCGGCGAAAATTTCGTCGGTCGCCGCGAACTCAATTAGCTTTATTTCTATTTCATACGCCGGCGACCGGCGAACAAAACAGTACAAGGTGGCCATACTTGTACGAATTTTATGTGTTTTAGTAAATAAAGTTACTTTTTACTTTAAAATTTGTTATGGTCACTCTACTATCTGTTACTCGTATAAAAAAAAACATAATTAATTTGTTTATTTATTTGTGTACTTGCGCCTGAGTGAAGATGGATATCAGTGAATTTATAATAGAGAAGATGGACATAAGTGAAATTATAAAAGAGAACATAAAGAATTATGTGTTCTTGTATAATTCATTGTAGTCAACAAATGAGCAAAAAGTAAACGACTTCATCAGCTGTTTTATAATTTCGTCGGTATTGTGTTCCATACGACGAATTTTCGCGGCTCATTTTGTCGCCGCGTAGGGCGAAATTCGTCGTTCGCTCCAATTGTGTTCCTAGCAATAGAGTGAGTGATGGAAATGCTGTACAGTTTGCTAGTGTGTACCGCACTTATGTTTTTTTTTCGCCTAGAAAAAAACAAAAAATTGACATTAAAACGAACAGACAGAGCTGTATTTTTTATCAATTCGCTTCGCTAGGCCATGGTATAGAGAAAAAGTAATTTTTCTTTTTCGAGCGTTGGGTGACAGCCGCAAAAACTTAACAAAATTTTCTTATTAACTAAAAAGCAGCATATATATACAAAAATTAACGACGGAAATAAATACTACAACTAATTAACTAAATCAAACAAAACGTAAGCATAATTAACCACAATTATTAACTAAAAAAAACAACGAGAAGAGAAAATGCTAAGAATAACCCTGAAAGAAAAGAAAAAATGTCGGTTGTGTGATGTTGTATGTGTGTTTGTGCGGCGCCCCGAAAAAAAAGAACTGTGTTACGTTGACAAAACTAGATTTGCTTTTCGCATTTTTTTCCTAAAAAAGAAAAATAGAATGGGAAAAACTTTGAAGAAAATTAATTGGAAAAACCATGTGCTTGCGCTAATGGAGTGTGAAAAACCCAACATGGATGAAAAAAAGACAATGCGGGCCGCTCGGGAAGCTTCAGCATTGCATTGTAGGGCCGGTTACAATGCTGTCGGCTATGTCGTCGACGCCAACGTCGGCAGACAGCAGAACAATGCGCGTTGCTGTCTGCATCGTCGGTCGGTGTAATGATTATTCGGTTTGAAAAATCATGAACGGTCGGTCATTGTGTGAAGAAAGAAAAGTTCACAGTGGGATTATTGGAAAGACTAATTTAAGAACTTTGGTTATTGAAAATATCCGTAGAAAAAAGATATTAAAATTTCAATTCGTGCCATCCCCCTCGTCACGCGAATTATTAGAATGCGTTCGTTATTGGAGCCAATCGGTCTTTAAGAACATTTTTTACGTTTTTTGCTTTGCATATTTTGTGAACAGACGCGTATCTTTTGCCTTGTTGGTGGTAAAAATAATGAATTTCTATGTTTAAAATTGTTTTTCATTTATTTATCGTTCTAGCATAAAATGTGTTTGGGATTTTTTTAATATCCAATTGCAATATAATTATTCCATTTTTAAGAAATTTCATACCCATACAAATTAGAACCCTGGAATTACAATATGATAGCTTCCTTGTCTTCTTTGCAAGCTAATTACATATCAAATCACAGATATGACCTTATCTAGTGTCCAACAGCGTTTAAATATGGCGCTTCAAACTTTTTATTTCGACATCTCAAAAAATGGGTAAACACCGATTCTGATTTAGTTATAGCTTCAATAAAATTTATTTATATTTCAGTGCCAAATATACCAAAGGACCTGTTTAGAAAATTGAGGGAAAAAGTGACATCTAAACAATTTATTCTAGCGTTCTATACCATTTGGATATTATTTTAAGATTAAGTTGAAATCCCTCTTCATATGTGACACCTAGTTCCGCAACAGTCCTTCAATTAGACAGACATATGATATAGAATATGTATCATATTTAATTTTTTACATGTTCCTCTGCCAAATCTATTTAAAATCTCAGTCCGTATTTTGATATAGTAGAATTCTCAAAAGATGCAAAATGGAATGGATCAGGACGACAAAATCTAGGTTAAGACATGGAATAGATTTTTTTAAAGCTAGATCTAGTTACGTAGGTTTTAGAAATGACTATTTATTACCACATCCCAACTCCCGTTTCGTATACATCGTTCAAAAATTAACGCCAGCGGTCATTCGGTCGGCGGATTCGTGCGAAAAATCATCCATGGAACTGTTATATAGACAACAAGCGGCCTAACGACAGCCCGCTCTATCTACAAAAATGTAGCTAAAAGAGCTATTCAAAATATAAAATTAAATGTAATTGGCTTTTTAAAAAAGAGTGCATTTCCAAATTCATGCAGAAAAAATTCAAATGTGTGAAATCGAATCAATTTAAAAATAATTCACATAACCAATATCAATGAAAATAATATTAACCTCAAGCTTATATTTTGAAAAAATTAAAAAAAAATTGTTACAAAGCTTTTATTCTAATTGTGTGATCTGTATATATTTTTACAGCCTCTGATCTTCTTTGCAAACAAAAAAGATAAATTCTATTCATTTTCAAAACTAAACTGTAGTGAGTGTGCAAATTCAATTTAAGCAATATCGGGTTTGTTTCAAATACGTTTAACGCGTCTTAAATTTCAATACCGCGCGCAAGTTGCTGCTTAAAAGTTAAACAAAAGCAGACAACATGTCGTCTAGTTCGCGTCGTCGTGGCGGCGGCGGCGGTATGGAAATGAATTCCAAATTACACATGGATCGTCAACCGACTGTAACCAGAATAAATGGTTTGTTTGTTTGCTGCTTTTGTTGCTTTTGTCATTGTTGAACATGATTATTAATAATGTTTGTTTGTAATCTCTTTTTATCTACCCCAACCGGCCGCCCATTACAGATCCCTCATTGCCGGCTGGAAAACGTCGTGAGATCGACAACGTCATGAAAAAGGCACGAGCCAACACCAACGACTATTGGGACAAAAAATTGCTGGAGGTCGAGGAAAAGGATCCCAACCGTTGGCGTCACACGGGCTACAAGAAAATGTACATACAGGGAGAGAGCAGTTCGGGAGAAAGTGATCGTGAAAGAGGTCCTTCGGTCGGTGAAAGAGGTGCTGGAGGTGGTAGCGGTGGCGCCGGTAATGGTTATCGTGGTTATAACTCCTCTTCGGCGGGTGGCCCACCCGGTGCAATGCCCGGCGGTCGTTATGGTCGTTCACCACGTTCTCGTTCGCCTCGGTCACGTAGTCGTTCGCGTTTGCGTAAAACCCCGCCGCAATCACCGCCTATGCGTCGTCGTTCACCTCCACCGCCGCGTGATATGGATCGCATAAGTCGTAATCGTGTTTCGCCACCATCGTCAATGGATGGCCGCGACCGGGGACGTCCTCGTTCACCACCATATCGGGGTGGTGCACCGCCGCGTTCACCCGACATGGGTCGTCGTCCAATGGGCGGGGGAGGTGGCAGTGGTGGTCGACCGCGTTCACCACCAGAACCTCCAATACGTCGTCGCAGTTCGCGTTCACCCATTGACAGAGAGCGGGAAAGGCGTCGCGTTACACCGCCCAATATAAGTGGTAGTCGTCGTCGTACACCACCACCGCCGGTTTTGGGTCGCGGCGGTGAAATACCTCCGAAATCGTCTAGGGCGCAAATATTGCCCCGTTCCAAGAGACCACCATCACCGCCACCCAGGGTAAGTCGGAACAATATGATAATTATTTAAAATGTATTCTAATGTAAATTTCCTTTTTGTTACAGTCTTCTTGTCGTTCGCGTACCAATAGTTCGTCGAGTAATTGTTCCGATGATTCGTGTTCGGTTTGTTCACCCAGTCATCGGCATCGTTCTCGGTAAGTTTGACAAATACCACCGAATCCTAGAGGGTCTGATGTCCTATTTTATTCATAGATGACCTTGTGGTCTTGTATAATGTATAGACGACATAGTAGTATTCTAATATTTATAGCAGACTAGAGGTCTTGGAATACTTGAGAGTCGTTTTAATACCCATTTAAGATCTAATGGCCTCCTAGCTCAAAGATCTTTAATGGGCATATTTTTAACTTTTATCTCTTCTGGTGTCCATAGAACACCTTGGGCTCTTCTAGTGTTCATAGAAGGTCTTGAGGTCTTCTAGTATCTATTAAAAATCCTGAGGTCTTCTAGTATACATAGAAGACCTCTTGGTCTTCTAGTATACATAGTAGATCGTGTGGTCGTCTAGAAGACCATGGAAGACTTTGAGCCTCTCGAATATCCATAGAAGACTTCTACTATACATAGAAGACCTCTTGGTCTTTTAGTATACAAAGAAGACCTCTTGGCCTCCTAGTATACAAAGAAGACCTCGAAGCCTTCTAGTATACATAGAAGATATTGAGGTTTTCTAGAATATCATAAAAGACGTTGAGCCTCTCTAGTATCCATAGAAGACCTTGAGTTCTTCTAACATTAAAAGAGGACCTTGATGTATACTAGCATCCATTGAAGACGTTTGGGCCTTCTACTCTATCCATAGAAGAACTTGAGTTCTTCTTGTATCCTAAGAAGACCTTTATGTTTACTTGCATCCATAGAAGATCTTGATGTCTTCCAGTATCCAAAGATGTCCTTAAGACAATCTAGTGTACATATAAGGTCTTAAGTCTTTTAATGTCCCTAGAAGACCTGATGGAATTAAAGGGTCCATAGAAGACCTAATCGAGGCTTTGTATCGTTTATAAGAGATCTAGGGGCTCTATTCTATATAGGATACATACATGTTTGGCGTTATCTTTAGGAATCCTAGAGATATTTTATTCTAGGAGAACTAGATTTATTCTATTTTCTTTAAAAGAACAAGGCATTATCAATTCATCCTTTTATCGTTTTCTTTTAATTTTCCAGTTCAATGTCAATGCACCGTCCACCACGCGAGCGTGGGCCTCGTTCGCCACCACCGAAATCATCATCATCTCGGTCGCTGCAATATCATCGCGGTGCAGTGCCCCCTTCGTCGTCATCCTCCACCTCAACAAGTGGTCGCCTGCCCGTACGTCCCAGTTCACCGCCACGTAGCTCTGAGCTAGACAAATATCAACGGGAAATGAACGTGCGTCGTATTAGTCGTCAGCGCAGCATTGATGAACACGTCTCTGATGGTCCGGTCAAGGTAAGGACAAGCCGTCATTCACCGCTTGAAGATCCGCGTTTGAAAAATCGGCCACCCGAACCACCAGAGCCCACACCTGCTGCAGTGGTTCCCGTGAAAAAGAAGAAAAAAGAAAAAGAGGTTAGTCAAGAATGAGAAACATCGTTTGTGACAAATCTAAATTTGTATCTCCTTTTTTTCAGTTACGCACACGCATCAAAATCGAAGGTGAGAAACGTAAAAAACATTCATCCTCCGAATCGGATGATTCGGGTGGTTCGGACTCCGATGAGACCCCTTTGCCCACATTTACCGCAACAACGCGTCTAACGTTATCGGAACGTTTCGGAAAGATGGCCCAATGGTCCATAGATCGCAGCAATATGGAAAATATGCGCATTACAAAAGATTCTGCGGGTGGCGCTCTAAAAGTTATGATTGAAGAGGGCCTTGAATCTCCGCCGCGTCGTTATTCGTATTCACCGGCACCGGTTGGCCATTTTCCCGAGGAATTGGCAACAACAGCACCGTCGGGTATGCTGTCGTGGGATGATGTACGTGTACGCTATGATTACTATAAATCGCGTGGCTATTTGAGAGACTTAGATTTGAAGGTGAGTTGAAAACAAAAAAAAAAAAATGAAATTTGTAACGAAATTTAAATTATTTATTTATTTTTTAGGATTACATAAAATGGGAAGAATGGTGGTATAAATACCAGGAATGGCTCAAGCATGAACGTTACTATGAATACTGGGAACGTCAACAACTTGCCCGCCAGCGTAGACGTAAAAAGCTACCCATCACCCAGAGACTCAATTAATTTGTAAACTTTGTGACTACATTTTGGTTTATTTAGTTTTCAAACAAAACAAAAAGAAAATGTCCTTTGACTCCTTCTACATTTGAAAGTAATTATCAAGAGTAAATGACTTCATTCTTCTCTCAAGAGCATACGTCTTTTGCTGCTCGCCGAAGAAGTTTGTTGTTATATTTCTTTTCGCTGCAATGGTTTGTAAACTCTATCCAATTATAATTCTGTGTACATTTTGAATGTATGATGAAACAAAAAAAAAATGAGAAAACATTTAATATTTTAGTGTTAGTCTTAAATTTAGTAGCCTTTTGTGTATTTTCTTTAACACAATTGTAACTTATGATCAAAGGCTTATTTAATTATTTTTTTTTATTTTAAATTATAATCTTGATGAAAAGAAGATTTATAATAGTTTTAGGTAAATACAAATATTTCTTTTTTTAAATATATAAAAATAATGATTTAATTTTAAGCAATCAAATACAAAAAACAAGAACATCAGAAAATAAATCAAAGAAAAAACATATACATTTAATAAAATGCAACAAATATGAAACAAAGTATGGAATTTCATTCAAGAATAGCTGAGTGGAGAGATGCAGCGAAGTAAGGAGGAAATACATTCAAAAAAAAAAAAAAATGACGTTAAAAGGTTAAGCAAGCAGGGTCCTCAAAGTACCCGTGAAGCAATTTAAGGGACAAAGGATTTTATCCTAAAGGGAGCCTCAAAGCTTTCGGAAACTTAATCCGCTAAAGCTTTATGGTATAAATTTACAATTGTTATCTTAGCACAGGAATAAACCTTGAACAAAAAACATGGCCAACTTGACCGATTGGCTTTTGGAGTTGCCAATACCTTTGAAGTGATTTAAGGACAAAAGCTTTGAGGATATAGCATTTGTTGGGTTGCATGGCCACAGATGGCGTTGTTGAGATGTAATTCCGAACAAGCGAAAATTTAAAATGTGCTTCAAATTTAAAATATGTTTAGGACTACTTTTTCAAGGCCACTAAAGCATGGAGTTTTTAAGGTCTCCAAGGTGTGGAATTTATAGAATTTTTGTGCCGCCAAATGCGTGTTTCTTGAAAGATCTTTAGAGACCTTTTAGGAGTGAAGTATTAAAGAATTCTTGAGCCAGATTTTTTAAAGAATATTTGTAGACCATCCAAGGTTTGGATTTTAAAGAATTTCAGAGTCATCCAAGGCGTGGAGTTTTTTAAGAATTTCCAAAGACCCATGACGAGTATTTTTTTTTTAAGCGGGGATTTTTACAGAATTGTTGAGCCATCCAAGAGTTGTATTTTCAAAGAACTATGGGACATTCAAAATTAAGTCAAGGAGTGGTACTTTTAAAAAACTTTTGAGTCATCCAAGACGTCAATTTTTAAGGAATTTTTGAGCTATCGAAAGCGTGAATTTTTAAATAACTTTAGAGGCCTCCAAGGAGAAGAATTTTTGAGCCATCCAAGGTGCGTCTATTTAAAGAATTTTTGAGCCATCAAAGGTGTGAATTTTTAAAGAGTTCTGAGCCAGCCAGAGCGTGGAATTTTTAAAGAATTTGAAAGGCATTCAAGTCAGGTCGTGGAATTTTTAAAGAATTTGAACGACATTCAATATAAAGTCAAGGCAAGGCATTTTCAAAGAATTTGAAAGGCATTCAAAACGAGGTCAAGGCATGGAATTTTTAAAGAATTTGCAAGACATTCAAATCGAAGTCAAGGCTTGGAATTTTTAAAGAATTTGAAAGACATTCAAAACGAAGTCAAGGCTTGGAAATTTTAAAGAATTTTAAAGACATTCAAAACGAAGTCAAGGCTTGGAATCTTTAAAGAATTTGAAAGACATTCAAAACGAAGTCAAGGCGTGGAACTTGTAAGGAATTTGAATAACATTTAAAACGAAACCAGGGCTTGGATTTTTTAAAGAATTTAAAAGACATTCAACACGAAGTCAATGCGTAGAATTTAGAAGAATTTTAAAGACATGCAAAACGAAGACAAGGCGTGGAATTTTTAAAGAATTTAAAAGGCGAAGTCAAGGCTTGGAATTTTTAAAGAATTTGAAAGACATTCAAAACCATGTCAAGGAGTGGAATTTTTAAAAAAATTGAAAGTCATCCAAGACTTGATTTTTCTAAGAACTATATGGCATCCAAAACGAAGTTAAGGCGTGCAATTTTTAATGAATTCTCGAGGTCTTCAAGGTTTGCGGGTGTAAAGAAATTTTTAGTCATGGATTTTTTAATGAATTCTTGAGACCTCTGGATTGAAGCCAAGGGGTGTATGTTGAAAGAATTTTTTGAGGACAACAAAATGAAGTCTTGGCGTGGATCTTTGAGGCTCCCAAAATTCAGTAAAAGTTTGGATTTTTAAGTAGGATTTTTAAGGCCTCCTTAATTGATTTAAGATTGATTTATCTGTCGGCGGGAGCATGTACCACCATCTAACCCACCTGCAAAGCTGGCGCTCCCTCATATTCTTCCAGAATTACAATGATTTTGAAGCTAATGGATTATTTTAACATATTAATTGAATTCCATGATGGAAAAGAAGACAACATCGACTACTACACATTACCAATTAGAATCCGCCAAGAAGTTGTCATCATCGCCATAATCATCGTCATCTTCACCGCCTGGTTCATTACAAAATCAAAAATCATGCAGATATATTCCAATCGAATATGCATATGAGGCTGTCGTCGAAGTTTTTATCTTCAACAAGATGACACCTTGACAAATAATACGTTTTCCAAGAAAAATAAAAAAACACCGGGGGAGGAGGAAGATCACCATCTTCATCATCTGGCTGAAGGAAATCAATGGAAAAATGCACGTTCGTTCACATTGGCTAAATATTAGTCACGCTATTGGTAAACATATCGGGAGTAAATTAAAATAACATAGTCAATATATATTTCCATGCGACTCCCTTTTAACCTCCCTCCAGAAAAAGAAAGTCATTTGTTGGTTGCATATAAATTGAAATTTCATGCCAATTTTTGGTGTGTGTGTGTGTTTGCTTTTCTACGGCTTCTCCTTCCCCCCCAAATGGCCACAATAGCGCGGCATCGAAAAGAAAACATGAAGCGGAATTGAATGTAAATACAATGTATGGATGGATGGATGATGGTGGGTGGGTGGTGGATTTCATGTCGTCAGAGGAAAGCTGGGGGAAAATATCCGCCGAAAAATATGAATGTGATTATGTGATTATAACAGGAGTTGGTGATGATGGATGCAAATCTTATTTCAGTTCTCTTTTTTTCTCAGAGTTTGTCAAGCAAAAAAAAAAAAAAAAAAAGAAAGAAAATTAAACAAAAAATGGAAACGGAATGAAGCTATTACATACCTTTATCATGGAGTTTTTGAGGCCTCCATAATGAAGTCAAGACATGGATTTTTAAAGAATATTTTGAAGCCTCCAAATGAAGCCAAGGCTCGAATTTTTTAATGGATTTCGAATGAAGTCCAGGTTTGGATTTTTTCAAAGAATTTTTAAGGCCTCCATGAAGAAGCCCAGGCATGAATTTGTTCAATCCTCCAAAATGAAGCCAAGGAGTGGAATTTTTAATGAATTATTAAGGCCTGCCTAAAGAAGCCAAGTCATGGACTATTCTAAGAATTTTTAGCGGAATTTTCTTGAATTTTGGAGGCTTTAAACAAAAATCTCAAAATTTGCGAAGAAGTCTGTAACATTATAGTAAAACCTCACGTTGCGGCACCATAAAGTACTGGTAGTTGTTGTTTTTTTACAACTTTGCGACATGCTGCTGTGATTAGAATTTTGGAAAATTTTTCAATGCCCTAAAAAAACCTTAAACTTGAATCTCAAAAAGAAAAAAAAAAACAACAAATAAAATTTTCTTATCTCCCGCCAGTCAGCCATCCAGCCGGTCAGATGCTGATAGAGACAATTTTTTATTATCTCTCGAACTCAAAATAGACTAGATGTTTGTCCAAGTGTCTGCTGTGCGAGATTAGCGTAATTAGTTTCATTCTAAAGCTTCTACAGCTCACACATCCACAAATCAAATTCTCAAAATGGCTGAGAAGGTAATTTTAGCTTATTCCGGTGGTCTTGATACTTCATGTATTTTGAAATGGCTGTTGGAGAAGGGCTACGAGGTTATTTGCCTGATGGCAGATGTTGGTCAAAAGGAAGATTTTGAGGCAGCCAAACAGAAAGCCTTGAAAATCGGGGCCAAAGAATGTGTAGTCAAAGATGTGAAAGATGACTTTGTGCGCAACTATATCTGGCCGGGCATTCAAATGGGTCTTATCTATGAGGAACGTTATCTATTGGGTACCTCATTGGCTCGGCCCTGCATAAGTGTGGCCTTGGTGGAGGCTGCCCGTAAATATCAGGCCAAGTACATTGCTCATGGTGCCACGGGCAAGGGCAACGATCAGGTGCGCTTTGAGTTGTGTGCCTATGCCCTGATGCCGGAAATCAAGGTGAGTTCAAATAAAACAACCACTCAATCCATTTTTTTTAATTCTAACCACGTTTTTCATTTCAGATCATTGCCCCCTGGAGAGATGATGAATTTTGCCAGCAATTCCAGGGTCGTTTGGATTTAATAGAATATGCCAAGTTACATAACATCCCCGTGACTGCCAAACCATCGACACCCTGGAGCACAGATGCTAATATTTTACACATTAGTTATGAATCAGGCGTTTTGGAGGATCCCAATCACATTGCCCCCGAATCGTTGTATGAAATGACCAAAGATCCTTTGACTCAAGCGCCCAAGGAGTCCATGCGCATTACCATAACCTTTGAAAAAGGTTTACCGGTCAAGTTGAACGAAAAAGCTCAGTCACCCTTGGAGATATTGGAAATCTTAAATTATGTGGCCGGATCGTATGGTATTGGTCGTATCGACATTGTGGAGAATCGTTATGTGGGCTTGAAATCCAGAGGCGTGTATGAGACTCCCGGCGGCACGGTTCTGTTCAAGGCCCATCAGGATTTGGAGGTGTTCTGTTTGGATCGAGAGGTGAGTGGGATAAGAAAAAAAAGGAATAAAGATAAGGCATTGATTTTCTAAAGAATTTTTGAGGACTTCAAAATCCAAATAAGCCGGGGATCTTTTAAAGAATTTTTGAGGCTTCCAAGTCATGAATTGTTTGAAGAATTTTTAAGGTCCTTTAAGGAAGCCTAGTCTAGGATTTTTTAAATGAATTTTTGAGGCCTCTAAAATCAAAACAAGACATGGATTTTTTAAAGAATTTTGTGATGTTTTACGGATTTTCCAAGAACTTCCCTAGGAGGTCAAGGCATAGATATTTTAAAGAAATTTTTAGATCTTCCTTAGGCAGCGCCGGCGCGGATTATTTACGGATTTTTGAGTCCTTTTATATGAAGCTAAGGCATGAATATTTTAAGGATTTTTGGAGTCTTCCCTAGGAAGCCAAGGTTGGGATTTTTTTACGCATTTATTGAGACTTTCTGTAGAAAGCCAAGGGTTTGAGATTTTTCTGTGAAGCCAAAGCTTTAATTTTTTAAGAATTTTTAAGATCTTCCGTATGAACCCAAGGCTTGGATTTTTGAGATCTTTCCTAGGAAGCCAAGGGTTTGATTTATTGTGACCTTCTCTAGGAAGTCAAGACTTGGATTTTCTAAGGATTTTTTGAGACCTTCCCTAGGAAGCCAAGGCTTTGATTTTTAAGGATCTTTTTGGATATTCCGTAAGAAGCCAAGGCTTGGTTTTTTAGACCTTCCTAGGAAGCCAAGGCTTAGATTTTTCAGATTTTTTGAGACTTCTCCTTGGCCTTCTAGACTTGGATTTTTTTAAGGATTTTTTTAAATCTTCCCTGGGAAGCCAAGGCTTGAATATTTGAAGAATTTGCGTAGACACTCCCTCTGAAGCCAAGGCGTGGGGTTTTAAGGATATTTAGAGACCTTTCCTACGAAGTCAAGGCTGGGACTTTTTAAGAATTTCCTTCTGAAACCAAGGGGTGGGTTTTTAAAGATTTTTCGAGATCTTACCTAGCTTGCATTTTCAAGGATTTTTGTAGCCTTCCCTGGAAAGCCAAGGCTTGGTTTTTTAAGGATTTGTTGAGACGTTCTTAAGAAAGTCAAGGCTTAGGTTTTTCAGAATTTTTTGAGACCTTCTCTTGGCTTCCCAGGCTTGGATTTTTAAGGATTTGTTGAGACGTTCTTAAGAATGTCAAGGCTTATATTTTTTAGAATTTTTTAAGACTTTCCCTTGGATCCCTAGGATTGGATTTCTAAGAAATTTTTGATACCTTCCCTGGGAGCCAAGGCGTGGATATTTGTAAGATCTTCCGTATGTATCCAATGCTTGAGTTTTTTAAGGATTTTTTGACACCTTTCCTAGGAAACCAATACTTAGAAGCTGAAGCTGAGGCGTGAATATTTTGAGGATTATTTGAGTCTTCCATAGGAAGGCAAGGGCTGGATTTTTGGAGACCTTCCCTAGGAAGCCAAGACGTCAATATTTTAAGGATTTTTTGAGACGTCCTTTAAAAAATTCAAGGCTTAGGTTTTTCAGAATTTTTTGAGACTATCCCTTTGCTTCCTAGGCTTGAATTTTTTATCCCTCCCTGGGAAACCAAAGCGTGAATATTTTAAGGATTTCCTTATATCTTTCCTCCGAAGCCAAGTCGTGGGTTTTTAAGAATTTTTTAAGACCTCCCGTATGTAACCCAAAACTTGAATTTTTTTTAGGATTTTTAAGACCCTTCGTATGAACCCAAGACTTGGATTTTTTGAGACCTTCCCTAGGAAGCCAAGGGATTGATTTTTAAAGGGTTTTTTGGAGACCTTCCCTAGAAGCCAAGGTTGGTGTTTTTTAAAGCATTTTTTGAGACCTTCCCTCTGAAGTCAAGTCAAGTTTAAGACCTTCCCACGAAAGTCAAGGCTTTGGCTTTTTAGGGATTTTTGAAGCCTTCTATAGGAAGACAGGGCTTAAATTTGCTAAGGATTGTTGAGACATTCCCTAGGAAGCCAAGGCGTGGATTTCTTAAGGATATTCCGAGACCCTCCTTAGAAAGCCAAGGCTTGAATTTTTTAAGGATTATTTGAAACCCTCATTAGAAAGACAAGGCTTGGATTTTTAAGGATTTTTTCAGACCTTCCCTGGGAAGCCAAGGCTCAGATCTTCTAGGAGGATTTTTCGAAACCCTTATTAGAAAGCCAAGGCTTGAATTTTTTATGGAATTTTTAAGGCCCTCCCTGGGAAGTAATGACTTGGATTTTTTAGGAGTTTTTGAGACCTTGCCTAGGAAATCAAGGCTTGGAATCCCTAAAGGATTTTTTTAAGACCTTCTCTAAAAAGCCAGGGCTTGGATCTTCGAGACCCTCATTAGAAAGCCAAGGCTTGCATTTTTTTTTAAATTTTTTGAGACGTTCCCTGAAGCCAAGTCGAGATTTTTAAAGAATTTCTTAATCCATTCCCATATTTTCTAATCCATTTTATTTTCTCTTTGTCATCTCTTCCAGGTCCTTCGCTGCAAACAATACTTACGCGATCGCATGGCCGACTATGTTTACAACGGCTTCTGGTTCAGTCCCGAAGCCAATTATGTACGCCAGTGCCTCGAACTGTCCCAGGCGAATGTTAATGGCCAGGTGACAATGGAGTTGAGACCCGGTTATTGCATTGCTGTTGCTCGCAAAGCTGCCACCGCCAATGCCCTGTACAATCAAGAGCTGGTGTCAATGGATGTCCATGGTGGTTATGTGCCACGTGATGCTTCCGGTTTTATTGCCATCAATTCCGTGCGCCTTAGGGAGCATGTACGAGCATTTGGAGCATATGAAGTTAAAAAGTAATAAAGATAGCTGCTGCTAAAAAACAAACGAGTGGAAAAAAGAAGAAGAAGAAGAGGGAAACTTGTAACAATTGCCAACTATTGTTAACTTGCAGTTTTAAGTTTTTATTTTCTCTTTGCGCTAAGGGCAAAGTGAGGGTTTTTTCCAAACAAATTTCTAGTTTGGAAGTGGGAAGTGGGAAACGGACGACGGATGGATGATGATGTTAGTTGGTTTCTTTATCGCCATTGCTGTTGCTATTGTTCCTTTTTTTTTCTATTGAGCACCACACAAATTCATGGGAAATTTTTATGGCTGGCCATGGAGATGGATTCAATGGATTCTGGGGGTTTGACTTTGCCAAGTTTTTCTTGTCGTTGGTGTTGTTGTTGTAGCGGTCAATATTTTGTGTATATTCCAATCGTCACGTAATCAATCAAACACTTGATTGGTGTACGAAAATCATTACTTTCCTTGACTATAGTTGGACATAGTTGACTGTTGGCCGGAATTGGGGCGTGGGGGGGCAGGAGGAGTGAATTGCAACAGTTTTTTTCCCTCATGGTCTCTGAGATCTTTTATTATATTGCGTTGATGTGAGTGGTGAAACTTTTAACGCCTTCTTTGACTCTGGGTTTTTGTTTTGGTTTACTGTCAGCATTGCGGCCATGGCAATCCAAACGAAAAATAAAAAAAAATGCTTCGTCAGTACCTTTTAATCTAGCAAAGTTCAAAAGGGCCCGCAAAAAAACCTAAACGGTGGGAGTCAAATTGATAAAGATTGAATGTGTTGATGCCGAACATTACTAATGAAACAAAAGCCTTTCACATTTTGTCAGCCAGTTGGCAAGTTAATAGCTCGACATTTCCAATCAAGTAATTTTTAGAAACTAATTGAGGGGAGGAAAGGGGAAAGAAAAAAACAACGAGAACAAGTGAAATTATTTCTGCAACAAGAAATTTAGTGGATGTTCTTTGGAGGGTCTCCCTCAAAACGGGGATTTTTTTAAACAATTTTTGGGACTCCCAAAATCAACCAAAGGCGTGGATTTTTTAAAGAATTTTTGAGACCCCCAAAATAAACCAAAGGCATGGATTTTTTAAAGAATTTTTGAGACCCCCAAAATAAACAAAAGGCGTGGATTTTTTAAAGAATTTTTGAAATCCCCAAAATGAACCAAAGACGTGGATTTTTTAAACATTTTTTGAGACCTCCAAATTAAAGACAAATCGTGGATTTTTTAAAGAATTTTTGAGACCTTTTAAATCAAAACAAGGCGTGGATTTTTTAAAGAATTTTTGAGACCCCCAAAATAAACAAAAGGCGTGGATTTTTTAAAGAATTTTTGAGGTCTCCAAAATAAAGACAAGGCGTGGATTTTTTAAAGAATTTTTGAGGTCTCCAAAATAAAGACAAGGCGTGGATGTTTTAAAGAATTTTTGAGACCCCCAAAATCAACCAAAGGCGTGGATTTTTTAAAGAATTTTTGAGGTCTCCAAAATAAAGACAAGGCGTGGATTTTTTAAAGAATTTTTGAGGTCTCCAAAATAAAGACAAGGCGTGGATTTTTTAAAGAATTTTTGAGACACCCAAAAAGAAAACTAGTCGTGAATTTTTAAAGAATTTTTGAGACCCCCAAATTAAAGACAAGGCGTGAATTTTTAAAGAATTTTTGAGACACCCAAAAAGAAAACTAGGCGTGAATTTTTAAAGAATTTTTGAGACCCCCAAATTAAAGACAAGGCGTGAATTTTTAAAGAATTTTTGTGACCCCAAATTAAAGACAAGGCGTGAATTTTTAAAGAATTTTTGAGACCCCCAAATTAAAGACAAGACGTGGATTTTTTAAAGATTTTTGAGACCCCCAAATTAAAGACAAGGCGTGGATTTTTTAAAGATTTTTTGAGACCCCCAAATTAAAGACAAGGCGTGGATTTTTTAAAGATTTTTTGAGACCCCCAAATTAAAGACAAGGCGTGGATTTTTTAAAGATTTTTTGAGACCCCCAAATTAAAGACAAGGCGTGGATTTTTTAAAGATTTTTTGAGACCCCCAAATTAAAGACAAGGCGTGGATTTTTTAAAGATTTTTTGAGACCCCCAAATTAAAGACAAGGCGTGGATTTTTTAAAGATTTTTTGAGACCCCCAAATTAAAGACAAGGCGTGGATTTTTTAAAGATTTTTTGAGACCCCCAAATTAAAGACAAGGCGTGGATTTTTTAAAGATTTTTTGAGACCCCCAAATTAAAGACAAGGCGTGGATTTTTTAAAGATTTTTTGAGACCCCCAAATTAAAGACAAGGCGTGGATTTTTTAAAGATTTTTTGAGACCCCCAAATTAAAGACAAGGCGTGGATTTTTTAAAGATTTTTTGAGACCCCCAAATTAAAGACAAGGCGTGGATTTTTTAAAGATTTTTTGAGACCCCCAAATTAAAGACAAGGCGTGGATTTTTTAAAGATTTTTTGAGACCCCCAAATTAAAGACAAGGCGTGGATTTTTTAAAGATTTTTTGAGACCCCCAAATTAAAGACAAGGCGTGGATTTTTTAAAGATTTTTTGAGACCCCCAAATTAAAGACAAGGCGTGGATTTTTTAAAGATTTTTTGAGACCCCCAAATTAAAGACAAGGCGTGGATTTTTTAAAGATTTTTTGAGACCCCCAAATTAAAGACAAGGCGTGGATTTTTTAAAGATTTTTTGAGACCCCCAAATTAAAGACAAGGCGTGGATTTTTTAAAGATTTTTTGAGACCCCCAAATTAAAGACAAGGCGTGGATTTTTTAAAGATTTTTTGAGACCCCCAAATTAAAGACAAGGCGTGGATTTTTTAAAGATTTTTTGAGACCCCCAAAATAAACAAAAGGCGTGGATTTTTTAAAGATTTTTTGAGACCCCCAAATTAAAGACAAGGCGTGGATTTTTAAAAGATTTTTTGAGACCCCCAAATTAAAGACAAGGCGTGGATTTTTTAAAGATTTTTTGAGACCCCCAAATTAAAGACAAGGCGTGGATTTTTTAAAGATTTTTTGAGACCCCCAAATTAAAGACAAGGCGTGGATTTTTTAAAGATTTTTTGAGACCCCCAAATTAAAGACAAGGCGTGGATTTTTTAAAGATTTTTTGAGACCCCCAAATTAAAGACAAGGCGTGGATTTTTTAAAGATTTTTTGAGACCCCCAAATTAAAGACAAGGCGTGGATTTTTTAAAGATTTTTTGAGACCCCCAAATTAAAGACAAGGCGTGGATTTTTTAAAGATTTTTTGAGACCCCCAAATTAAAGACAAGGCGTGAATTTTTAAAGAATTTTTGAGACCCCCAAATTAAAGACAAGGCGTGGATTTTTTAAAGATTTTTGAGACCCCCAAATTAAAGACAAGGCGTGGATTTTTTAAAGATTTTTTGAGACCCCCAAATTAAAGACAAGGCGTGGATTTTTTAAAGATTTTTTGAGACCCCCAAATTAAAGACAAGGCGTGGATTTTTTAAAGATTTTTTGAGACCCCCAAATTAAAGACAAGGCGTGGATTTTTTAAAGATTTTTTGAGACCCCCAAATTAAAGACAAGGCGTGGATTTTTTAAAGATTTCTTGAGACCCCCAAATTAAAGGCAAGGCGTGAATTTTTTAAAGATTTTTTGAGACCCCTAAAATAAACAAAAGGCGTGGATTTTTTAAAGAATTTTTGAGGTCTCCAAAATAAACAAAAGGCGTGGATTTTTTAAAGAATTTTTGAGGTCTCCAAAATAAACAAAAGGCGTGGATTTTTTAAAGAATTTTTGAGGTCTCCAAAATAAACAAAAGGCGTGGATTTTTTAAAGAATTTTTGAGACCCCCAAAACAAACAAAAGGCGTGGATTTTTTAAAGAATTTTTGAGGTCTCCAAAAAAAGACAAGGCATGGATTTTGTAAAGAATTTTTGAGGTCTCCAAAAAAAGACAAGGCGTTGATTTTTTAAAGAATTTTTGAGGTCTCCAAAAAAAGACAGGGCATGGATTTTTTAAAGATTTTTTGAGACCCCCAAATTAAAGACAAGGCGTGGATTTTTTAAAGAATTTTTGAGGTCTCCAAATTAAAGACAAGGCGTGGATTTTTTAAAGAATTTTTGAGGTCTCCAAAATAAACAAAAGGCGTGGATTTTTTAAAGAATTTTTGAGACCCCCAAAACAAACAAAAGGCGTGGATTTTTTAAAGAATTTTTGAGGTCTCCAAAAAAAGACAAGGCATGGATTTTGTAAAGAATTTTTGAGGTCTCCAAAAAAAGACAAGGCGTTGATTTTTTAAAGAATTTTTGAGGTCTCCAAAAAAGACAGGGCATGGATTTTTTAAAGATTTTTTGAGACCCCCAAATTAAAGACAAGGCGTGGATTTTTTAAAGAATTTTTGAGGTCTCCAAATTAAAGACAAGGCGTGGATTTTTTAAAGAATTTTTGAGGTCTCCAAAATAAACAAAAGGCGTGGATTTTTTAAAGAATTTTTGAGACCCCCAAAACAAACAAAAGGCGTGGATTTTTTAAAGAATTTTTGAGGTCTCCAAAAAAAGACAAGGCATGGATTTTGTAAAGAATTTTTGAGGTCTCCAAAAAAAGACAAGGCGTTGATTTTTTAAAGAATTTTTGAGGTCTCCAAAAAAAGACAGGGCATGGATTTTTTAAAGATTTTTTGAGACCCCCAAATTAAAGACAAGGCGTGGATTTTTTAAAGAATTTTTGAGGTCTCCAAATTAAAGACAAGGCGTGGATTTTTTAAAGAATTTTTGAGGTCTCCAAATTAAAGACAAGGCGTGGATTTTTTAAAGAATTTTTGAGGTCTCCAAATTAAAGACAAGGCGTGGATTTTTTAAAGAATTTTTGAGGTCTCCAAATTAAAGACAAGGCGTGGATTTTTAAAAGAATTTTTGAGACCCCCAAATAAATGAAAAGGCGTGGATTTTTAAAAGAATTTTTGAGACCCCCAAATAAATGAAAAGGCGTGGATTTTTAAAAGAATTTTTGAGACCCCCAAATTAAAGACAAGGCGTGGATTTTTTAAAGAATTTTTGAGACC